GCTATAATAAAAGAGTAACAAAATAATCTTAATAGATAGTCTTAATAAATTCTTCCTTACCCCTGTTCTCAATTCTTTTGGGGCTTAGAGCTAGCAGTCCTTTCTTTCTTATTTTCTCTCCATTTCTTCTGACTGTAGTGCTGACAAAATAATGCAGATTGGTACGTTAATTGATTATAGGGCTGAAAGGAGTTTTATCAATCAGAATTCTATGCTGTAGTCGTGCAATTATAACTTGTGAATGAAGACCATTGAGGGTCATTTTAAAGAACCACATATTGCACAATATGTGTATGAAATTTGTGGCTTGTTAAGAGATTAGTGAACACTGGAGATAAAGCATGTTTTTATTACATTTTATTTGTAGAAAATCAAATCCAAAGCAATAGCTTACAAAATGATTCATTAGAAAATGAAACTCAATGGCTGCCTGATGTTGCTACCACAACTTGGCAATCACAGCCAATGACATGGAAAGCTGGGACAGGAAGGGCTAGTGGCCCAGCTCAACCATAGGACAAGCCTCAGGATGTTAAAAAGGAAATCAATGAGTATGCATTCCCCTTATCCTTATTTTCTTTCCCCATCAGGTTTCTTTTCTCTCCTGACTTCCATTTCAACCCCTTTGTCTATGGAGATTCTCAATCATCCCGGTCATTCAGTTAGAAGTGAAGCAGCTTCTTGGATGAGGAGCAAAACTCTTTCAAAGAAAACACCAGGAAGTCCAATTGTCTTTTGGAAAAAGCACGTTTCCTCCCTTTCCATTTCTAATTTTGGCCTTGGTTTCTTCCAATATATCCTCTTCTATCTCTCATTTCTGCCTTCTCTGCCCCGCAATTAGATTAGAGCAGAAGTTCCCAACTTGGCAATTTCTAAGAGTTGTGGTCTTCAAATACCTTGATTCCACATGGATGAGAATTCTAGGTATTGAAGTCTACATGCCTGAAGTGAGCAATTTTGGGAAACACTGAACTACACAAGTCTACACAAGACTACACTGGAGCAATTCAGCCAAACCCAAGATCATTTTTGCTGACTAGATTTAAAAGAGAGAGCGAGGTGTGTTTACAATGTACATATTCTGAGATCCAAAAGGATTGTAGCTTTAATATGCAAAACATCTACTCTATTGGTGAAGGTAATTTCTTGCCAAGTCAAAGTTTTGGAAATTGCTCTGGATTGGGCACTATCAATACCTTAAACCTGTGATGCTGAACCTACGACATTCAGGGCCCTCCCATTAGGCATGCGCGCCATCGCCAGCTGCTCTTCTGTTTTTTTTGGTGTGCACTGGCCAATTGGTCTTTGTGGGTGTAGGAATGCCAAAAAAAAAAGAAGCCTAAAAACGGCTTGAAAATCCATTTTTGATCCCCAAAATGGCCTGAAAATTGGCCTGTTTTTTGGCCGTTTTTGGGTGCTCTAACACTGGCTGGTGCACATGCATACACATTCTGGTATGGGCATTCGGTACCGAAAAGGTTCACCATTACTGCCCTAAGACTATTGGCATCTTTATAAAATTCAGAAGATGGCGTCAAAAAGTTGTTTATAACCTATATGTACGATCATAATTCACTGTTCAATAATAAATGGCATCCAATTAACAGTCCCAGCCTAGTATGTGACTTCTTGAATTTGGGTTTAACCTTTTTCTAAAAAGGGTTCGCGGAAATCAACTAACAAGTGAGAATATCTTCTGGACTGGTAATTTCCAACAGGGACCAACCAAAATTTATTACTTATTTTCTTTTAACAAGATATAAATACAAACAGCATTTATAATGTAACAACTTCAACAAATATCTCATATGGGGACAAATTAAGGGGAACTGTCCACTTGGACCCTTAGTACAGCTCAGTCTGCAATACTGTAGTAAGGCAGCCACAGTTCTGCCTAAAAACACACACAAAAAATGATCTCAATCGATACACGAAAGTATTAAAGGTAAGTGATCAACAGCAGTCTTGTGCGTGTCTTTATAATTGCTCCAATCTTTGAATTTAATAGATTAATCCTTATTTTTTTTCTAATAGTTCAGTTTATTTTTGCATACAGCTTAGCACCTTGATGTCTGTCCATTGCTCATAGGTGCATTCCATTGTCTCATACGTACATTAACAGTTTTCCATTAAAACACAGGTGCTGTATTTACAGAAATCGATGGTCACGAATGCAATTTTACATGTATGTAGCACCTTTCATTCAGGAAAAAAAAGAGAGAACTTTACAGAGAGGAATTACAAACAATTTGCTCCACCCGTTGAAATTCAAGCCAAAGGTGGGCCAGGTGAATAACTATATTACAATGCATAGCCATGTTACACAACCGCTTAGGCTGAGAAGGACATGTGCTTTTACAGTTATGTCCAGAAAGTAGATTTTTTAAATCAACTACCCAGTGCAAAAAAGGAAAAAAAAAAGTGAAGAGGCCTCTAGAAGGAATCATATTCTGAGAGGAACTCGGGTGATCACAACTTCAGTTCTACACATCATCTGGAATGGAGCACTTCCGAGAACACCAAGGGCACTTTTTAAACCCCATTGCTTTTGGAGTTGGGAGGGCGGATGACAGCGCCACCTATTGGTCATTCCTAGGCAGTGATTCCCGGTGATACCTACAGAAATGGGACAATGCAAAATGAAATGAAACGAAAGTGTCAGAAACAAGTTTATAAAAATGGCACATTTATTGCTACAGAACAGTCATGTACATGACGGCATCAAATAACTACAAAATGGGAAACATAAAAGGTCTACAGCAAGCTGTGTGTTTCGACTTCAGGGGATCTCCAGCGCACAACCTGTTTTAGACGCTTCTACAAATCAGAAATACACCAAAAACATGGGAGGAAAAAAAAATATATCGAGGCACTCAGCCACACGTTGAAAAACAAAGTGTAACTGTTGTTATCTTTTTTTTTCTTTTTGTCCCTTTTATCATTTTTCCCTTTTTTATTTATTTATTTTTTTCTTTTTTAAATGTTGCAGCTATGGGTACAGTCGCAAAAAACAAAAAAACTTCCCCACTGCGACCTCCAACTTAAAAAAAAAAAAGATAAAGGAAAAAAAAAACAGAAGGGGAAAAAAAAAGCTATCGTACAATTTCATCTTGGTAACACATATGTAAAATAACATCTTTTAAATAGTAAAATAAAGTAACAAACTTTTACTTAGAATGATTCCAAACATCTACAAAGAAGAAATATTCAGAATCTGACAACCCCTGCCCCACCCCTCCACGCCCCCCACCCCAATATTCGTGGTATAAAAGGATTGCTCCTGTGAAAAATAAGCCAAATATATATATTTTAATTTTTTTTTTTAAATTTAGGCTTTTCTTTTATCCTACTTGGGTGTACTACAGTCTATTTTAATAGCAAAAAGGTCACTAGACAAACAAAACTTTGTAACAAAAAGGCAGGCACTGATACATGGTAAATCTCTGCTTTTCCGTATCTTCACTTAGTTGCATCACAAGTAACAAGAATGAAAAAGGCCACAGTTCATATATTTTCACCATTACATAAGTCTATAATACTTGAAATGAGTATGGTCAAACCAGCACTGCACAAAGGTGAATCAAGTTCCCGTCCCGTGAGAAGATGCTAGAAAAATGAAAAGGAGAAGGAAAAGGAAGAAAGAAAAGAAAAAAGAAAGAAAGAAAATCTTGGTGCCCCCCGCTGTGTTGGAATTCATTGTATTCCATCTTTAGAAAATCGTATTATTTTTTTCTTCTCGTATCAGTCAGTGGATTAAGCTTTGTGCTTTTTCTCACCCGATAAATTCTCTTCGTTTGTGGCAATGTGCTATTATTATACGGTCTGGCACAGGTTGCACTGTGCCTGTTGAACAGAACAAGGAAAATTGGAAATTGCTCCGCATTCCTCCCACTCTATCCCCACCCGTCCCCACCCTTCCAATGAAATCAACTAATAAAACAAATCGGAAGACTGCATCAATTACAAGTTGCATCACTGGTTGAACTGACAGTTGTATAAACATTAGTGTTCTTTGCAGCTACACGTAAGACAAATGTAAAAAAAATAATAATCTAGATGAACAGATTTCCTTAATCTGCGTATTCATAAATTACTTGAATGTGGAGGTGGATCGTTCATTAAATGTTGGATAAATCTGTACAATTGTAGTGTCCAAGTTCTGTTCATTACTGTACAACATGTGGCTGTTTCTCCTTCGTATGAATGTGCAAAGCACTCAAAATCTGCTGGATTTTCTGACAATCACGGAAGCATCTCAAAATCCTCACAGGGTGCTTTGCTTCGAGCTCAAAAGACTTGTGGAATATATGGAACACTCCAAATTCAAAACAACTTGCACACCTCTACCTTTTGGTCGTTAAAACTCAAGTCATCACCAGGTCTTTTAACAAGTGACAACTCCCACTGTGGACAGCAGCAGTGAAAAGTTAAGCAATTCTTGATGTCTTATTTCTTAGGATCACACACTAAATTAAAGCAAGCAGAGGAGGTTGGGGGGGGGGTGAACAACACAAAACAGCATGACTGGTTAATTTTCAAGTTTAAATTCCATTATGGAACAGGAAACCATGTCCAAAACCACAGAGATTAGATTACCGTTTTATAAACAACTAAGCCTCTATTGGTTCTATGTACATCACCATTTTCATTCCTGTTTAGAATCATCTCTGCTGTTCAAATGTGCTGAATGGCCAGTAATGGAAACCATCTTTTTATCAATGTTCTTTGACTGTGAAAGTTTCAAGATTCATAATAATGTCATCAATCTGGGCAATTATTAAAAAGATGGCATTTTGATTTTGTGTTGATAGCTCTCTTATTCAAATTAGTTTTATACACAGAGCAGATGATTTGAAATCTTGGCATTATGAATGTAAACCAGCAGAAATGCTCACATTGATGACATCAAGGTGGAAGGTAACGCCTCTTTGATTTATCCAGGTTTTTAGCGTAAAGTTATCCTCTGAAATAACAACTTCCCATTAAAAGTATTAGAATTGTTTTTTATAAAAAAACTTTAATCCTAAACTATATTAATAACTGGTCAATTAAAAGAGAATCCTCCAATGTTTAGAATACCAGCACTAAAAGAATTAGGTTTAAGACAAACATTTTCATCTAAACATATTCTATTAGAAGTATGGCATCTGCAATGAAATAGTCATTTCTTGTTCTGATTTCAACTTACATAGTCTCTGCTCTATTATGAGCTTAATCCACCTCCACATTTGAGAAACCTATTAACAAATAATAGTATTTTTTAAAAGTTTTACTGCTACTGAACATATTTACAATTTTCAACACACATAGGTAATCAAAATGTTTATGGATATGGAGAGGGTGGTTCAGATGGCAAACTACCATATTTGTTCTTTATGTTTTTCAGTAACATAAAATTAAGATTCTTATTTCTCACTATTTCATTTAAATGAGATTTTGTTTCAACCACACAGTTTAAAAAAAAACAAAAGTTTGATACAATGTATTAAAACACATAATAACAAGAGTCTACATGTAAAAATATAACTTTTACATACACAATTTCAAAATAATGATACGTTTGCCATTTTGTTGCATAAAATTTACAAATGTATTTTTTTTCATTACTATGTAACTGGCAAAACAGGAGAACAGATGGAAAGTCTAGACCGTTTTCAATGGGTATATGGCATTTACTCAGTGCTGATAGGTGGAAAATCGATTCAAACCGGGAGATTCTGTTTAAAAATAACATGCCAAGTTTGCGTGGCTATTTTTTAAAAAAAATAAATAAATCAGAAGCTTGAAACAAAAAGATGCTGACAAAGACTGAATTGGGAGCAATGTCAGTTAATTGTTCTGTCTCCCAAAGTAAATCTTTGGAAGATTCACTGTGGGTGCTTGCTTAGATGCCCTGAAATCCAATCACTGGATGAGTTGCTGTGTCATAAGCTTGATCTAATACTTGCTATAATGTATATGCGTTAAGTAAAAACTTGGTTCATACTGGCCAGAAAAATACTGTTCGACTCCCTCCTCTTTTAATAAAAGTGCAACTTAATGCTTTAGAACGGGTAAGGCTTGTTCTAATGCTGTGTGACAGTTGGATATTGGCATATTTTCTTTAAATGAACGGAAGAGGCAGTAAGTATATGGTCAATCTTTCAGGAATACCCTTGAAAATGTTTTCTTTTTTTCCAAACTCTCGTACAACTAGCAACTCTCCTCCCCATCCCACCTTTGACCATGTATTCTGAAACGCCTCGGTGCATATTGTATTTAAGCTACACACATTAATTTAACATTTCTACTGGTTTGTTAAATCACAGCCACCTTTGATTATGTTACATTTTTTTTTTGATGATATAAACATTAGAAGGCACAGTGGTAACATTGTAGCATTCTAACCTTGTACCTCTGAACATCTTAGAAATAGGGTATAATGAGAGCAAGAGTTGTGATTTAGAATTCTCCACCCCAAAATTTGATTGCCTGGGTCATTCCCCCCCCCCCAAAAAAAACTCGTGTTGACTTGTAGGGTAGGGACTAGAGCCGCCCCAGAATTCCTAACCCACATCCCAGCATTCTGGGTAGTCCCGATCTGCCTTGAGAGAGGGGGGGGGGCTGGAGGTCTCTGCAAAGCTGCTTACGCTTATCGGCATACCTCATCTAGTCCCGTATTCTCCCCCAAAGGACTCAAGAGATCGCTTGCTACTTTTCGGTAGGCATGATAAGCAACCTTGGGGTCAGAGTTTATCCTGGACGGCCCCTCCAGCAGCAGAGCTGGCACTACAGGTTACAATAAGGAACTGAAGGGGCCATGGGGGAAGAGAAAGAAGACGTCAACAGAAACAAAAAACTTATTTACAGTAAAATCTTTTTTTTTCTTAAAAAAAGTGAATCCGTACTTTGTTTTTTCTTTGTTTTTTTTTTTTTACAGGAGCAAAAAAGTCGGAAACCAATGAACAAAGCTTACCATAGTCACTAATTTATATATATATATATAAATTTATATATATATTTATATAATATTTATATATGTGTGTTTGTGTCCATGTGTTTTGTATTTGTCATAGGTCTATAAGATCCATCTGTTCCTCCTACCCTAAGGAATGGCTAATGTCATTACTTCAGTTTTCATTAGGACGTTTGCTGGTTTTGTAAATATTAGGGTAGCGGAGCTTCCCTTTTTAATATCCAGTAAGTATAAATACTAGCTGACTAGTACACCAATGAAAACGTTCATTTTTTTTTCTTCAGAAGTACACTTTTCATTATTGCAAGTTTACAATTTTTAAATTAAATATTTTTTTTTCAGACTTACAAATTAATTATATTTTTTTTTTCCAAAAGAAGTTTAGGCACAAATGCATTGTCCCACAGTGTGGAGAAGATTGCCATTCAGTCTCCTGGCTGTGCACTGACAGCTGTCAACATACTGCTTGAAAACATTCCGAATGATATGTTGAAAAGAGGTTGTCCCCTCAAGTTGCACTTTTTTTTCCCCTTTATTTCAAAATCAGGAATGCTGAAATCTCTTGCGTCTGTGATTCGTAACTACTCAGACTTGTCTTATTATATTACAAAAAAAAGGAGGGGGGAGGAAGGGTTAAGTGTTTATATGTTTTTTTTTTAAGATAATACAGCTGTTTAAGGAAGTAGTCTCTGGTTTACATGAAGAAAATGTGGCAACTTGGACCTGCGAAAGAAGCGGAAAAAATTCAGATCAGCCAAAATGCAATCATCTTTATTATTCTTAATTTCATTTCATAACAGCATATTCATCATAAAAAAAGGCTTTGGAAACTGGCTCTCAACAATCCTCACTCTATCATCCAGATGAAGAGACATTTATTATCCTTCTGAAGACATGTGGAAGCTTTTTCACACTTCGGGTTCAAAATACAGAGGCAGAATAAACTAGGTGAGATTGTGATGAATCCTTACAAGATGGTTGGGTCTATTGGTTAAGGCCAGTAGAAGCCAGGAGAATGAGAGTTGTAGTCCTGCCTTAGGCATGTAAGCCAGTTAGGTGATGTTGGGCCATTTATCTGGTGATAAATGATGATCTTTTAAAAAAAAATCTGGTGATAACACCCAGTTAGGCGATATTAGGGCATTTATCAAATATCTACAGACCCCTCACATCCTGGACATAAATTGTTTCAACTTCTACCATCAAAAAATTGTCCTTGTGTCTAGTTGTTCTGGTGTGTAGTGCTATGGGGCACACCAGAATAACTCAGCACAAGGACAATTATTTTCCCGAATGCGATCACTCTGCTTAACAACTAATTCCCACAACACTGTCAATAATGTATTACTATTATTCTTCTCTTCTTTCCTAGTATCTATCTCTCCCCATTTATCACTATACCATGTTGCTTGTATCTTTCAATTTATATTGCTTTTATTGTTTCCTAGTACGATTTGATAGCTTGATGAATGTATTTTTAGTCTCCTTATATACACTGAGAGCATATGCACCAAGGACAAATTCCTTGTGTGTCTAATCACACTTGGACAATAAAGAATTCTATTCTATTCTATTCTGTCCTATCCTATATCTCTATTCTATTCTGTTCTGTTCTATCCTATCCTATATCTCTATTCTATTCTGTTCTATCCTATCCTATATCTCTATTCTATTCTGTTCTGTTCTATCCTATATTTCTATTCTATCTCTATTCTATCTCTATTCTATCTCTATTCTATCTCTATTCTATTCTATTCTATTCTGTTACCAGGAGACTGGGTCTAGTTTTGCCTTAATTATGAAAGACAGTTGGGTGACTTTTGGCAGAATAAAAATAAAGAATAAATGAAATAAAGTACAGGTAGTCTTTGACCTATGACTACAATTGAGCCCAACATTTCAATTCAACAATTATTAAGAGAGTTGGGCTCCATTTTATGACCTTTTTGCCACAAATCACTGCATTGTTAAGTGAATCATGCAGCTGTTAAGCAAATCTGCCTTCCCCCATTGACTTTGCTTGTCCGAAGACAGCTAGGAAGGTTACACAAATGGTGACAAACATGACTCCAGGACAGTCCAACTGTTACAAAAATATGCCAGGTGCCCGAATTTTAATCATGTGACCAAGGGGATTTTGCATTGCCATAATAAGTGTGAAAACTGGCCATAAGTTTTTTTTGGGGACTGTTGTAACTTTGAATGGTCACCAAAGAAATGGTTGTAAGTCTAGGAGTACTTGTACAATGGAAGGAGGGAGATATTGTACATATCTTGCCAAAGTTACTAATTCTCAATAGGATGAAATCCTGTTGATGAAAAATTTACCTCAGTATTCAGGTAAATATTTTTAACTTCCTTCTTCTACAAAACCCATTGAATTTCCTGTAAACTGTTTGGTAAGTTATCTGGTAGTGACTCAGTCCTAAGATTTTCATTAGATCACACAAATAGGACATTTTTATGAAGTGTTTTGGGGAATATAATAAATTCAAATTGACAGTTATTTATCGTTGTATATCAGAACACTGGCAGAATCCAATGTGTGGAGCCACCCCCCACCCCACCCCCAATGTTTTCCATGGTCATGAAATATTTTGATGCTACGCGACAAGAGGAAACAAACACATTCTTAATTTGTGATCATGTCTGATCTGGTCTAAATTTCTTCCACTTACTATTTTTACACTTCAACCCATATGAGAAAATTGAGCTACAAAGCAATAAATAAAGGGATATAATAAAGACATGACCGGTGTGAGGGATGGTGTTGGTTGTTCACGTAATTAAAAAAAAGAGAGAACAAATAAAACAGAATTTAGCAAAAGCAATTCAAGTGAGGTATTAACGTTTAAAAAGAAGAGTATTATCTATGGAATTGATGAACATGGAAGATTTCTGGTTGCCTTTGAGTCAATCTTGACTCTTGCTGATGTTTCTGCAGTGTCCCTGCAGTTTTCTTAACAAGATTTTGGGAATGGTTTATATTTATTTTTTTCCTCCTAGGGCTGAGAAAAATTGACTATAGATAGTCCTCAACTAACTACCACAATTGTGACCAGAATTTCAGCTGTATGTTGTTATGATTGTCAGTTTTTCTACCATTTTACAGCAGTTGTGAAATGAATCATGTGTTCCTAAGTCCAAAACAAATGGTCATCAAGCAAATCATGAAACTGTAAATCTGCATCTACTAAATCTGCATTTAAATGTATTTATTCACATGCATTTAAATATGCACCAAAGACAAATTCCTGGTGTGTCCAATTACACTTGGCCAATAAAGAATTCTATTGTATTCTTTTATTCTCACCTGAATAAAAGTGGGGAGGGGGGGTGGTTGCCAGAAAGCTAAAAAAAGGGGGGGGGCTAACAGCTGGCAAAAAAAACCCTATTGCAAACTGTGATCATATGATCACAGGATGCTACAAAAGCTTGTCAATGCGAGCTTTGTATCTAAAGTGGAACTAGAACTCACGGTCTCCTGGGTTCTGCACCAAACTGGCCCTCATGGAAAGAAACAGTCTTCAGATGTTAATTCCCCTAATTATATTTGTTCTGAAGAAACTAATACCCTGTTTCTCCCAAAATAAGACTTCCCCAGATAATAAGCCCAATTGGGCTTTTAAGCGCATGCACTAAAATAAGCCCTCCCTGAACATATTGCAACACAGCAGCAGCCATGAGGTGTCCACGCTTGCCGCCTCCTGCACCTCAAAAATAATAAGACCTCCCCGAAAATAAGGCCAAGTGCTTATTTTGGGGGTCAAAAGAAAATAAGATCCTGTCTTATTTTCAGGGACACATAGTAGCCATGGTATTTCTGTTACTATGAGGAAACTAGTCAAGATGTACGTACCGTTTTTCTTTTCTTTTTTACATCTGCCCCATATGATTAGATGTGTCTCCCATTCCAGGATGAGGTCCTGCCAAAGAAAGCGGAGGAGGGTCTGAAGATACTTTCTCTTCTTCCCTTCTTTTCAAACACGCTGCTTTAGGATTCAGATTTCTTTCTGTGAAACCAAAATTTAAGATAACGTTAAACAACTGTCAGGGTTCCAAGTAACATACCCACAGCAAACGAGACTCTGAGGCAGGTAGTTTCCTCAAAGAATAACTTTATTGGATATGTCCCCTCATTCCGTGTACCTTCAGGAATGTCCTTGATTCCCAAGAGAAAGTAATTTGTTTTAACTACAAAGCCCAACTATCTCTATTTCCCTCCCCCTGTCCCTCTTCTCCAGTTGTCAACGCCGAAGTCTCAAAATGGCCTCAGTCAGATCATTTTCAGGGCTGACAATAACCTTTAAAGCCTGTGGCCTAGCTACTTTGTGCGTTCAAGTATAACATCTGCCTCATCCTGCTGCCATTTCCTTCAATTGGCCAGGAATCTCCATTATAATGATAAATAATTTTGATTCTCTGAATCTCATGTCTTTGGCTAATTTTCCACTATAAAATTGTTTTCATTTCCTCTCCAAGCCTCGCCCATCTCAATTTGTGACATTTGAGACAGATTCACCTGCATTTCAGAACAATTGTTACTTCAGACCTGAAGTTTAAAGTTATTTTAATCACTGCAACTTAGCACTGGTGTTGTGCATCAGGCCGTTGCTTGATGTACAACATAAATTATCTACTAAACATACTAACCACTTTAGGAGTTTGGAGTAATAACCATCACTGGATTGATAACTGGATTGATAACATAATTTAGAATGAATTTTGTGATACTGGTTTATTTCATTTTATTTCTTTATTAAATTTATATGCCGCACATGTCACTGTCATGGGACTCTGGGTGGCTTAAAACAATAGCTCTCCAAAAATTAAAAATGAAATAAGTAGAAACTTTTTTTTTTAAGTGTGGACTAAATTTCAAGGGTAGTCATTTCAATGATACCACTTTGTAGCATAAAGATGATCCTTTCATAGTAGCTTACATAGCATAGTTGTTAAAATATTCATGACTGGAAGAGACATGGAAACAAGGTCAGCCAATGAATAGGCATAGCAACTAAGTCAGCCGCTTGAGCTTAAACAATAGCAATAGCAGTTAGACTTATATACCGCTTCATAGGGCTTTCAGCCCTCTCTAAGCGGTTTACAGAGAGTCAGCATATTGCCCCCAACAATCTGGGTCCTCAAAGCTTTTGGGCGGCACAGAGCCCT